AAAAAACAGATAAATTCTGCTGTAAAAATTTTAGTATTTTTTGTTTTTGAAAAATACATTTAGTAGACAAATACTGGGATCCTATCTCAATAACACTGAAGCTATATATATTAGTAAAACAGAATTTGTAAAAAAAAAAAAAACAACAACATGAAAATGTATCTAAAGGACCTATAAGTAACCATGTTTGTTTCTGCACATAACATCGTTAGAATTTCTTTGAGTATTATGTCTTCAGTATAGGGGCCATAACAGGGGCCAGGACATAATCTACAGGGGCACTGGTCCCCGTTGGCCCCTGTCTAGGACCACCCATGAAACACAGCCATGATGGATCAAAATAACACAGATATTAATGACTGCACATCAAATATCAAAATTGTAATAATCAAACCACCTAAAACAATAGGTTAAAAACTATATCTGTAATTTGTAATAATTACAATATTTTCCTGCCTAAATATTCTGAAGAAATTAAAATGAGGGGAAAAAAGCTGCAGACAGAAAAGCAGAAAACTGCAATTTGAAACTAAATTTAAATGTATTTTCATCTAAATATGTACAAAAGTTTAATTCTTGGAGCTCAGTATTGACCCACTGTTAGTTACATAGGTTTAATTACTGTAGAAGGAAAAAAAATATATAATAATTGAACTTTTATTGACCTCACATTGGAAAAATTTAACCCATCCCGTTGGGGAGCAGTGGACTGCCATTGTGGGGCGCCCGGGGAGCAGTGTCGGGTTAGGGGTCTTTGCTCAGGGACCCAGAGTGACAGTCTGTGGGAGTGGGGCTTGATCTCAGATCCTCAGGATTCCAAACTCTATGCCTTAACCACACTCCCTGAAAGGCCTATAGATTAAGAAAATGTTCTGGATATTCAGTAGTTTAAATCGGAGGTCTTCAACAGGGGGTCCGCGACCCCTAGGGGGTCCACAGAGGTACGGCAGGGGGGTCGCAAAAGTTTTGGTTGATTAGACTTTTTTTTTTAATATATATTCCCCCCTTCAGTTTATTCCACTAATTGAAATGTCTTTAAATCCACATAAAATGAATTCAACACACTTTCAGTCATCAATGCACACATTCACCAACACACAGGAGCCCATTCAAGCTGGGCACCGTTTCATTCACAACACCTGTCCCATCAACCAGGAATCAGAAATACTTTAATAATCCCAGGGAGAAATTACTTTCGTTATATTACTCCATATGAAATAAAGTGACTATAGGGCCAGTTTCATACAATTATATATATAATTAGGGGGTCCCCGCTCCATCTCGCCATCAGTTTGGGGTCCTTGCCCTGGAAAACATTGAAGACCCCTGGTTTAAATCAACACAAGGTCTTGCAAATCTTTTCACATTCCTACATGTTACAGTTTTGTTTAGACTCCCTACAGTGATATCTTTACCCATTCTACTGCAAACTGAGTCAGACTGGATGGATTGCATCTGTAAAGAAAGATTAATTTATTTTTTTTATTCTTGTCATATATTTAGGTCTGGTATTTGATCTTCTGAGAGCTTGTGGAGCAGTTGACAGTTTTTCTGAGAAATCCCTGACCTATCTGTCATTTAAAGTGGACACCATGTTTATGTTTGTAGTTTATGCTGTTTGTTCACTAACAAAAAAAATCAGAATCAAGTTAATATATTAATTTTGGTAAATGCCTCTAAATTAAAAATATACCATGATACTAAGAGGAACGGCAGATCTTAAGGATTAAACAGTTTAATACTTAGATCAACATTCCAAAAAAATAAAAAATGTAAGAAAACAATCTTTTTTTAATTCAAAAAGCGCCCTGGATGGGAAGTGAAACATCTTAAAACATGGAAACAAAGTCCAGTGGATTTTTTTTTTTCTTTTTTTACATTTTTTACGAATGACTTTGACCTGGATGACTGAGAATCTTCACCAGCATATTAGATCAACATTATGCTACAGTGGTCAGAGTGCCTTCTGGAAAACATCCTGCACCTGCAACAGCACACACCATCTGCTGCTATTTATTTTACTCCCCATTTATATGAGATGAGCTGTGCCTGCTGCTAGGATATGCCCATCTATAAAGTCAGGTCTCATTTTTACCTTTTTTTTTTTAAATTAAGAAGGATAGAAACTTTGAGAGCCTTCAGAAACAACACTCGGATGGCCTCAGATTAACTATACTGCTAAATATATTTTTACTCCAAAGGGCTCATGACAGGTTTTGGTTCTTTGACAGATAAACCTTAAAGGAATAGTACACCCAAAACATGATTAGCCTTCATTTTCTACTCACCCCCATGCTGAACAACACTCTGGAGTACTTTTTTGATATCTCAAATGCATCTGGAGATCTGGGAGGCTTCTTGCTGTCTGCTGACATTCAAATAATGGAGGTCTATGGCGCCCGAGGCAGAAAGGTCCATAAAAGTCCACAAAAACGTGTCAATATTCCTCCATACTGCTCGTCCAATGTATTCCAAGTGTCCTGAGTGGGTAGCATCCAGAATTTACTCGAAACTAAGTCATTTAGAATGTTTTTAGAGCATAAACAGTAGTGTATAGGATTTCCTGAAAGCGCGCACATGCGCTACGGAAGCCGGCAGACCAAACCAGCGCATTCAGCTCGGCAAAGAACTCATGCTCTTCCTCAACACTGAAGTCCTCAGACATTTTTCTTTCGTTGTTTCTTTCTTTGCACAGGTAAACAGCACATTTCTTCTTCTACGCTTGCATTATTGGAAGAGCAGACGCTGAATGCGCACTTTCATCTGGTTTGGTCTGCCGGCTTCCGTAGCCTCGTGATCGCGCATGTGCGCGCTTTCAGGAAATCCTATACACTACTGTTTATGCTCTAAAAACATTCTAAATGACTTCATTTCGAGTAAATTCTGGATGCTACCCACTCAGGACACTTGGAATACATTGGACGAGCAGTATGGAGGAATATTGACACGTTTTTGTGGACTTTTATGGACCTTTCTGCCTCGGGCACCATAGACCTCCATTATATGAATGTCAGCAGACAGCAAGAAGCCTCCCAGATCTCCAGATGCATTTGAGATATCAAAAAAGTACTCCAGAGTGTTGTTCAGCATGGGGGTGAGTAGAAAATGAAGGCTAATCATGTTTTGGGTGTACTATTAAGAATAAGTCTTGATTTGAGATTTCAAACTCACATTAGACCACAATGACTTGGCCATTTTACTGACATTAAAAAGGTTCTTGACATCTCCAGACATCAGTGACGTGATTATTAGATAGGAAATATAAAAACCATTATGGATATTTTTAATTTATCCTAATGAGCAGGGTTTTTTTTTTTTGTTACAGTATGGTGATGGGAATGTTTCTAAATGTACTTTAACAATGGAAAACGTTCTTTTTCTACAACAAACAGAACTGTCCACTCTTACTTCTCTTAATCAAGACGTTTCTAAGGTTGTCTGTGGCTCAGGGGTGACTTAACACAAGGAATGTGACAGTTATAACCCTTGTCCCGGACACATCTGTGTGTGGCGAGTCTTGAAGCTCTGACTCAAATATGCTTCAGAAAACTATTGTAAAACTTCACAATCCTTTTACTTGTCAATTTTTATTATGATTATTTTCCTAACATACCTATTCCTTCCAATAAACGTTTCTGTATCGTGCTTAAAAATAACATTGTGCTAATTTATTTCAACACACTGACACGCAGGTGTATGATCATATTAGTTTTCTTATATTAGTAGCTGTTAATCAGAACCATTTGTTTCGTATTTGACAGGTCAAGAAAACTAAAAATAAAAAGTTTCTTAAAGCATTCCGTTAGGTTTTCATCTAGCCCTGTTCTTTCATTTTCAGGTAATCTATCGAGCCTTGTCTACTTGGCACTCAGTGGATCCTTATGGCCTGGCTGCTCAGAACCGGCTGACTGTCACTAACCTGAGAGTTCGCCTCCTGCGGAGGCAGCAGTGTCCGTGCCAGACAAACCATCCTGGAGCTGCTGCTCTCCCAATAAACCACTACGCTATCTACGATTTCATTGTGAAAGGCAGCTGCCTTTGTAACGGACATGCTGACCACTGTGTGCCGGCCAGAGGCTATCAACCAGGCCCAGAGATAAGCAGTAGCATGGTGAGCTTAGATTTATGGAACACTACTCTTACTCTTGTGCCATTTTGTGTGTGCTGAAAGATGAAGTGATGACTTACTGTCAAACCACAGGTTTACCTAACATTACAGTGATTCAACAATGTGGAAACTTCAATTATAGTATTGAGCCTAAGACTTTAACAGCCTATAATCTAAGGTAGTTTATTCTCTGCAGTGTAAGAGGAGAATTAAAGAGTTTATTTGCAACAAACCTGAAAGCGTTTAGACATGTTATGCCTTTAAATGTTGCAATACTGCAGGAGTGTGGCAGTTTTAAAATGTTATTTATCTAGACATAATTTTTCATAAAACACAAACATATTTTTCTCTCTGTGCTCAATGGGCAGGTCCATGGCAAGTGCGTTTGCAGACACAACACAGCCGGCGACCACTGCGAACGCTGTGCCCCTTTCTACAATGACCTACCATGGCAGGCAGCCAACGGCATCATGGGCACGCCACACGAATGTCGGAGTGAGTGATGCGACAAGAAACTTAAAAACACACTGTAGTCACTGCCTATTGACATGTCCTGCAAATGAATTAGGAGGCATAAATCACAGGCACACCCATTAGACACTGATGAAAAACGTGTTACAGTATGCTGATATTTAAAGGTATTGTGAAGGGTTTTCTCGAATTCATTAAAAGACCCACTCTCTTCTCTTAAAAAAAAGCACAAGCCCATTTCTCCTTGTGCACGCTCTGTTTAAAAGTTGCTGTTGTCATAGCTCATACAAGCTTAGTGTGTCTGAACGTTCACACTAACCCCTAAATCCCTCAATCACTATATAGAGGGGGGACTTTATAGTGAACTCAGTCAACTTACCGTTCGGACAGATGATTACTTCCCCATTGGGCCACTGGGTGGTGCCTGCGTGATCTCTGTTATTAGTCGATGCTGGCGGGTAGCGATAGCCTATGGCGACAGCAGGCTGCTGTGACAGCAAATCCCATAATGCTTTTTAAGGAGAGCTCTCCACGCAAAGCATTCTGGGATATATCTGCCTCTTCTGAGGCCTTTCTTTTCTTCATACACTTCGTAGACACTTTTTCTATTATGACCCTCGGCCATTTTTAAAGAACCGCTGTGAGAAAGGTGAGTTTTGATGACTGAAACTGTAGCTCACCACAGATATACGCCTTACGTAAACATATCTCCAGAATGATTGACAAATAGGAGGACCACTTATTTAGATGATCCACCTGGAAATAAAAGATCCTCTTTTAATATAAAAGAGCATTTGTAATTGTGAAGGGAACAAAAAATATTAACATTTTTCAGATTATTTATTGAATTTGCGTTTGCAATGATTTCCTACATAATATTTGAAATATTTTTTTTTGTAATTACAAGAAAAAATGACTGCCGTCTTTTTGGACATCTTTTTAATGGCTCTTCTTCGATTTGTTCTAATTCTTTTTAATAAATCAGCCCCTTTAAAAGTTTCACTTGAATATTTCCCAGATTAATGTCAAGACTTTGACTAGGCCATTTTAACCATTGGCTTCACTGAAAACCTTTAGGCTTTAGGGTCATTTTTCTGGAGGAAGTCTCTAGCCTTTTGAAGCCTCAGTCATTTTTTCTCAAAATATTCATTTGTTTCCATCCAGCTTCCTGTAAACCTTGACCAGCTTTACTGTCTTTGCTGAAAGAGAATCATTCCCACAGAATGACATTGACACTACCTTCTTATGTTTTTCATACTTATAATTAAATATAATATTTAAAGAGATTTAATTATGAGCTTTCTTTATTTACTAATTTGACTAATAAGGGAATTGATTACAGTACATTTTATTTTGAATAAAAGAGGGGTCATCACAACTGGTCGCCATATTTCTTAAGTGTTTTATTTCAGGAAACTTCTGCTTTATCAGTATTAGTAAATGTAATTATTTTTTTCCTGTAAAATAATGTTGAACAATAAAAGTAAACATTGTGTTAATAAAGTTTCAAAATGAGAAAAAAAATGACCTCTTCTGGGCCCTGTAAGTTTAACATCAGTTTTTTTTTTATTTGCTGCATTTCTGTACATAGGATGTAAATGTAACGGTCATGCCAAGAGCTCCCACTTCAGTCGAGGACTGTGGTTAGCTACAGGACGGCGCAGTGGAGGTGTTTGTGACAACTGTCTCCACAACACAGAGGGACGTCACTGTCAGAAATGTAAGAAAGGCTTCTACAGAGACCCAAGTCGTCCAAGAACCGCTCCTGATTCCTGCAAACGTAAGAGCGTTTAACATTTAGTGTTTCAGAGTAACCTACCGTATTTTGGCCTAAAAAAATAAATAGATTTCAGACAAAAAAACGAATTAGGAGGTGCATATTTGATTGCTCCATTGGAGCTGATCTCTATGATAAAACCATCTGCATCCGTCTCTTCTTTATCAGTAGTGAGACAGGATGACCCCATCCTTATCTTAAGCAGTAATATCTGCTGTCCCTCTTGAAATATCTGCGTCACTGTTTTGGAATGTGACTGTAATGTCCAACAGCAGAGGAATTTCTGAGCACATTTTTCCGAATCTTTTCCCCCCAGAGGAATGCTGATGCATTCTTTTAGGAAGTAACAATAACATGCCATTTTTGGAAAAAAATAAGAAGTGACAAATGTCCCCTAAAAACAGATGGAATTACCTCATTTAGGAGATTTAAAGCAACTTTTATTATTGAGGATTCAAGCTAACTATGCAATTCAGATTTCCATAGATTCAGTTCTAACATATAAAACAAACCAAACCTTCCAGCATTTATTCCATAAGATTAATAATTTATAGCTCTTAAATAAACATTGATGTGATCATGCACTGGCTCGTCTTGCATGAATGCTGCCCAGGGTAACCTCTTTATCTTGAAAAATATCTAATGTGTATAAAATGTTACAGACTAAAAAGGATTGTATCCAATGTTCCCTCTAAACTGCACAATTGTGCACTGCTTGTGCTTTCTCTGTGCACAAGCATATCTATGCAAAAAAAAAGAAATATATTTAACAAATCCAATAAAATAAAATCCAACTTAACTAAAATATGTTAGACCAATATATTTTTTTCTGTATCATCTTGAAGTTGCGCATCATTCGTTTATCAAAACCAACCATGAAAATACGAGAAATAACTGTCCTTCAATTATTTTTGCTTGCCATACTAAAGGAAACGTATTAAAAAAACAGATAAATGGGGGACACATTCATTTTATTTTTAGCTTGTTTTTTTTGTGCTACATTTTAAGTATCCAGTGCTGATTGTGCAAAACCACTGGAGAAGAGAGAAGGACAGACATGAAAAATAGATCAAATTTAAGTCAGATTTGTTCATATTCTAGTGACATTTATTTTTTTATTTTATTTATGGATATTAGTCATGAATTTCTTACACTATTATCTAATTTATGTCATTAGAAATGGTAAAAAACAGTATAATTACATATTTTACAGACAGATTTACAGGAACTTATAGTGTATCACAACTTTAAACACACGTTTTATTGTGCAAAACATGAATATTTCAATGTAAACAAAAACTTATGTGTGAAAGGTGTAACATCTAATTTGTTCAAGAGCAGGAGACTCAACCTGGTCAAAGCAGGACCATTACATATAGCATACTACACATGAACAGCGTGTTTTTTTTCCATTTAAATGGGTAAAATCACTTAAATTTAAAGTAAACTAATGGAGACTGCTTCTATAATCTCTTATTCTTATAAAAAAAAACAATGGAATTTAATATAATTCAGTGTTTATAACATAATTTTTTTATTGGTAGATGGCCTCAGCATGCACATGTGATGTTGCGAACTCAGGGGGCTTGTTTGTATTCCCAGACACATGAAAAATTATGGAGCATTGATTGCATCTTGTTGATACTAATCTTGTTTTTACCTAAATTATTTTATAGTTAATCCAACTATAGATTTCTAAATTTGGAAATATATCGTTTTTATGATTTATTTTTCATGTCTGTCTTTTTTTTTCTTTCTTCTTTTTCTTCAGAAAAAGTAAAATCCTTAAAGTAGCCTTTTGTTTGGGGGGCGAGAGTAATGCTAATTCATAGCAAAACCAATCAGAGCTTTGAAAACAGGTAATCTTCAGCTGAGAAAATATTCCCAGTGTAAACCTCGGTTTCACACCAGAGTTGTGAACTGCTTAAATACATTCAATCTTCACTTTAATTGATGTTTCAGTGTAAGTTCAGTTTTAAATGTCACACCCAAGTTTGATTACTGGCACACTTTGTGAAATAAGACCTGTTTAACACCATGAAGTAGGTTAAAAGATCTCTAAAAGCAACACACCCTGCTATGACTTAAATGTTAAGAACAGAAGAGATCAGGTTATTGACATGTATTATACTTTAAAGAGTTACAACATCATTTCTAAGGTTGTTATCTACCAACAGAGAAAACATGGAACAGTGTTGAAAGTCTCAAGTATTCCTCTCGTTTATAAGGCTAAAAAAATCACCGAGAAAAGCATCAGAAATATTTTGCAACACACTTTTTTTAGAAAGAAAATGTGTTACATTGTACAGGGGCACCAGTAAAGGGGGTAAAATAATAAAAAAAGGTTTGGAATGGCCCAGTCAAATAACTTTCCCCCAAAACTTCTCTACAGGGATGTAAAAGAGTCATGCAGTTATTGCTAACATGTTTTACAGCTACTCCAAAAGGTGGCACCAGTATTTATTAGGTTTAAGTTTAATGTAAGAATATTGTATGTTTTTAAGGGGATGGGGGGTTGATTTGCTTGTTTCTCTTAAATAAAAACTGCATTTTTTGATTTACTTTACATACATTTGCTATTAAACTATGTTCGATAATCTAAAATGTTAAAAAAACAAAACACACATGGTCTTGAAGGTTCGATCACAGAGCGACTGATAAATCAAGAGGTTTGTCTTTCTGGCAGACTTTTTCTGAACTACAACAGACAGGTGCAGTGCATGCAAACCTGAAGACAAGGTTCCATTCGGTCTACCCATCTCCTGCTTCTTTTTACCATCTCTAAACATTTTATCAAGAAACTTGAAATGTACTATAACTCACCTGGACCGAGTTTCCTTGGTCTGATTTCACATTTATTACTGACTTTTATTCTGCACTGCAAAAAATGTAAATCTAAATAAGTAATTTTTTCCTACAATAAGTGCATTTTCTCTTGAATTGAGGTGGTAATTGAGACACTTTGCCAACAGAACAAGACAATTAACATTTATAATAATAATACATTTTGCATTGTCTTATTTCAAGTGCATTTTATCTAATTATCTTATTTTAAGAGTAAAAATACTCATTCCATTGGCAAATAATCTTATTTACCTGCTCAAATTAAGGGTAAATACACTTAATTCAAGACATTATTACTTGTTTCTGGATCGTTTTTGCAGTGTGCAGTCTACATGGAGCCCCTCTGGGCTCCACGCTGCAGTGGAGCGGAAATTACCAGCTGGGTTAGTTCACATTTTGAAGGAGGAGGGTGAACAGAGTGACGCAACTAGTTGCACCATGGATAGATGTTTAAAGGTGCAGCCTCAATAAGTTGGAGCTGTTTGCTTCCCTGTGCTGACTTGGCGATGCCTGAAGCCGGTGCTTTAGGCCGGGGAGGACAAATCCCCCGCATGCTTGTCTGAACGACACACTTTAACGTAATATCTGGGGCTAAGATGATGTATGCATGTACCCAATGGCGTGACGACGCAACAATAGGCCGTAAGCAGTACAACTAACCCCCCCTCAACTTCACTTCACCCACGCTCTCTCCATTCATCTCCTGGTCGCACTCGCTGTAGCAGCAATGTCCTTTCTCTCTTTGGTTCTTAAAAGAACGTGTTTATTTTGGAAAGTTTTTTCTGTTCTCCCAGCAGGATCTTCTTTGCTTTTTCTTTCCTGGAATCTGCTTAAGTACCTCTTTTTGGTATCCATCATCGCTAACGCATCGTATGTAATGGTTATGGTTTCAATCTACACTCTCGGTTACCCATAATTCCAAGTCGTATTGTATAAAATAAAATGCTCAAATACATCGTTCTTTTAAGATCTTTATTGTGGTTTGAAACATATTATATGAATGTATTTTTAACCAACCGTCTAATGAACTATACACAGTTATTAACATAGTAATTAAAAGTACCACAGTCTGCTTGGCTACTGGTGTCGTGTTTAAACAGCTCACCATCATGTTGAAATCTGCCATGTGTTGCGGTTTAAATACGGTCCGGTCAGTTAATCTAGTATCAAGTGGGTTTAAGATTAATTTTTTGCACCAATACATCTGTAAAGAAACGTCCTAGTCCACAGTTGCATAGGGGGCCTACCAGGTGTAAAGAGCTCAGGGGGGCCCTAAGCAACTGCAGTCTCTGCTTACTGATAGTTACGCCATTGCATGTACTCTTTGAACCCATATGACATACATTAAAAGGCTATGTATGCCTTTTAATATATTGATTTTAATGACTGTCTTTTTACTCAGTTTTTAATGTTATGGTCTTTTAAACTTGTTTTAATTTTCCCTTTTTTAATGTAGCACTTTGAGATTTGAAGTCAAATGTAAAGTGCATTATAAATAAAATTCATTATTATTATTATATGAAAGTTCAACTTCAAAAGCCCCAGTCTGACCAGCAGAGAGCTGCACTAAGGCGGTTTTCAGACAAATAATGCAGAATTAAACATTTTTACATCAAAATGTAAAAAGAAATAATCACAGTAACGTTAAAGCAGGACCCAGTAGGTCCAGGTTTTACAGTTTATCTAGAAAAAAATGTGATTTACTGTATATGTTTAATTCATTCAGACCTCTTTAAATTTAGCAGTTATTATTAACGTGTTGCTAGTATTCCATGTTCCTGTAGCTCTGTGCCAGATGTGCAGACATTACAGACTTAATAACATGCACTTTGCTTGTTCTGTTACCTCTCTGCTTCACAGCCTGCTCCTGCCACCCTACTGGCTCTGTCCCCGCTGGTGGTGGCACCTTCTGTAACCCTAGCAGCGGGGCATGCACTTGTAAACCTGGTGTGGAAGGTCCTCACTGTGACAAGTGCATAATGGGATACTGGGGATTTCATGACTATGGCTGCCGTCCATGTGACTGCGCAGGGGGCTGTGACCCCTACACAGGTGACTGCTTATCTGGGTAAGAGCCAAAATATATTGTATTTATTAGCATAAATGAGTTAAGACAAAGCCATGAATGCTGGGAAAGGTAGAGGTTTTTTTTTCTGTAAACAAAGAATAGCATTCTCTCTAATGTTTGTACGTCTGCTGTACAGCTTTGATGTGGAAGTCCTCCATGCAGCTGCTGGAAACCCAGGAAACAGCAGCAAAAATAGTGAGACAGCACTATTAAGAGTGGAGGAGCTTTCCTCTGCACTGCACCATTCTGGTGAGGAACCATGCAGATAAAAGCTGCACCCGTTGCTATCCAGAAATCTGATGAAGAAAGTGTTATTTAATATTAATCACAATGGTATTTTTTGTGTTGCAGAGAAATGTGAATGCTCTGAAGTTAAACTGGTCAGCCCTAAATGGTTCTGCTTAGCCAAGTTTGATTACGGTGAGCAGAAATCTTTAATTATAAAGAGCTATATAGGTAACCATATAATCCAAACTTGGTAAAAAAAAACTTGGCAAAAAGCATAAAGTCTTACACCTCTGCTGATATCAGTGAATTAAATGTAGATAAAATAGTAAGTACTGTATACTCTTTGGATGCATAAAATGTTTAATTGATATTCATAAAATTTAGTTTCAAATAAATTCTGCAGATAAAAAGGAAAAAATGCAAGAAGGAGCCTTTGTACACAGACATAAATGAAAAAAGAAATATGCAACAATAAAAAAAATATATATGTTGAGTCGATTTCTTGCTGCTTATTCTTCATTTTTAAAAGTCTTAAGTGAACTCTGCAAACTTTATGTTCACAAACCACACCGGCTGTTAAAGAGCAGTGTTTGTTTACATGCATAAATTTTTTCATATTTGACAATACGTTTATTTGCTGTGGATTTTTATTGTTTGTGTGCAAGATGTACGATGATATCTGCAGAAAAATATATAAAGCAATGATTGCTCAAACCTTTGCATTTTATTACTGATGGTTAGCGGCAGCAGCTACTTATCAGGCTCTGAGCCAATTGAATGATTTACACTCAAACCACCACATTGGTAGATATTGTTTAATGTGATTTTCCATTGCAAGACATCAGGTTTTATTATAAAATATACTGTAGATGGACCTTCAGTGGCGTAACAGACATGAGAGATATTAGAAATCATCATTTAGACTCATAAAATGTGAAATGATGGAATCCAGCTGTTGAACGCTGTTCATGAATTATCATTTTTCTTTCTCAGCTTGATACAATCTACGGTATAATTAATCCTGGCTAATGAAATAACTGATTTATAGAAATCCAACATTGATGTAATAAAGTTTATAACAGATTTGTTTTATATGTAATATTTGTTTAACAGTTCTGGTGGTGAAGGCGATGTCTGCTCATGATAAAGGTTCTCATGCCGAGGTGGAGGTGAAGATTAAAAAGGTTTTATATCAGAGCCCTGGGATGAAGATCCAGCATGGAAGTGTCACACTTTACCCTGAGTCCTGGACCGTCCGAGGCTGCACCTGTCCCATCCTCAATCCAGGTTAGCCTCCTCCAAAGAAAACCTTCAACAGATGATAATCATCCAAGATTGCAGTTTTATCTACTGGAATATTTGACCACTTATCCTAACAGTATTGGTAAAACATTTTTAATCCGATGGTTTCTTAACTTTTAGTCATACTGTGCAAATTACAACAGGAGTAAGCTTTCCAAAACCAGCTTTAATCGAATACTAGTTTGGGTGAAATTTGGGCCAGATCATTGACTATTGGACCAAACTGTCAGCCCTTATCATGAAAGAAAAAATAGTTAAAGTATTTAAGAACAGCACTTACATCATACGCTATGAGTTTGACACAATCCTGCATGAAAGAAAGGCTTTTTTTTTTAATCAAATGACAGAAAGACTGAGCTATCCAGCCTCTATGGTTTGAACAGGAGGGTATGAGGAGTTGAGCTCTGGCTTTTAAACCTAAAACCACTAAAGCCCGGCGTACACTGTGCGACTCTACTGCTCACACTGTACAACTAATCGCAGGGTTTAGTCGTACAGTGTGAGCTCACAGTTCACGATTTATGTTCGGTCTGATGCGATCTACCTGCTCACACTGTACGACTAAAAACCCCGTCGGACTCAGCTCCGCAGTAAGATGGAGCTACTCTGTAGTGCTCTATCCTGAAGTCAAACAAATAGAAGGGGGATATTAAGTTCACTATAGGGAACCGCGCTGCCTTGGAAAGTTGTGCAATGTTGTGCCGAGGGTCCTAGAAAGAAAGGGCGACAACATATGTGGAAAAAGTACGTAGCTTGGCGGGCGTGGCTGCTGCGGTCCGTCAATTTTGCAGACGGAGCTTCATTTCACTCATTACATTCCTGCCCTGCTGCTGTGTTTACATCTGAAAGGAGGAATAAAAAGAAGAATCCTTGTTTGAGCATGCGCCCTGAGCAATTTGCCCACGAGCACCTCCCCATTCCTGATCTAGAGGTGATTGTGAGAGGCTGATCGCCGCTCTGAACCTCCTGTACACTACACCAGCGGTCCCCAACCTTTTTTGCACCACGGACCACTATATGTCAGACTATATTTTCACGGGCCAAGTAAAATGATACGACTGGCATAAAATCAAATAGAAACTGCATAAAAATAAAACAACAAGCTTGTCCCATCTAGGCGTAATCGGAGACAATGACACACCAAGTGTGCTCCTGATGTCCAGTCTGCTCCGTAGCTTTGTTTTGGTCGCTGTAACTGCAGAAAATCCCGCTTCACAAAGATAGGATGTTATAGATAGCGTGTTGACCTAAATTAACCTGTGTCAAGAGGCACAGATGCACTGACTGATGTAATTGGGAGAGAATACCGCAATTTTCTATATTTTTCAAAAATAAAACATCACTCAGACTCTGATCGTCCATAAATTATAATATAAATATATAATATAAATTTTTTTTCTGTGCGGCCCGGTACCAAATGACCAACGTACCGGTCTGTGGCCCGGTGGTTGAGGACCGCTGCACTACACGACTCACAACGCACGATCAGGCTGAAAGTCGGCCCGATCGAAAGATTCTCGCATTACTGGAAAATCGCCCCAAAAATCGCACAGTGTACGCCCGGCTTAAGTCAGCTGTCAGGCATAGTGGTGGGGGCATTATGCTGCTGGGTTTTACAAAGTGAAAGCAATGATGAAACTAGAGGACAAATTGTTCAACTTGACACCTAGAATTTAGAAACCTGGATTATTCAACAGGGCGTTAATTGGAAAGGCTAAAGATCCATGCATACTTTCATAATTGGTTTTTCACATCAAAATCCAGAGTTTCAATATACAATATTTGCTCTTGAAATACAAGATTTTCTTTTCTTGTCTGAGGTCAGAAAAAGGATGAGGAGATGATTAGTGGAGTATTGATTAATGTTTTTTTTTTGTTCTTTTGTAGTATGTAGAAATCCCCACGCACAAACTAATAAACATAAGGGCAATTTAGAGTAGCAGAAAAAGATGTTTTAGGACAGTAGGAAAGAAGCCAGAAGGAGAACCACTCATGCAGCAGGAGAAGATGCAAACTGCCTACAGAAAATAAAATAAATACATCAAATGTTTGGCTTCTAAAGGTTAATATCTGATTACCTTAATATTTACAGATCAATAAAGTTTAGGTGTAACCTCAGTAAAACTGAAGATTGTTTTGAAGTTAATTCAAAGACATTTAAAGTAATGATTATTTTTTCTAAATAGTGATCAAATATTAACCCTGAATAACATATTTTAACAAACATTTGTGTTATCCCTGCTAATAGCCAAAGGTCATTTATCCTATTTATATTAGTGTTGCATGCCTATAATTGATCCTGTATAATTTAGTCTCTGTGAGAATTAGAAAATATCCAGAATCTTGCATGTATTACTTGTTTTTAATTAAATAAAGAAGCTTAATTTGGATCATAATTCTGTGGTGGAAAAACAGTCGTTCTTCTTTATGACTGAAAGCTTTCTTGCCTTTAATGCTTATATAAACATCTTATCGACACTAACTTGTTTTTATTATTTTTCTGTATTGGATTTTATTTTCATCACTTTCCTACCAGAATAATTCAGTCATTTCTGCCATTTCCGTCCTCTTCTCCAGGGCATGAGTATGTCGTGGCTGGTCATAAATGCTGGAAAACTGGCCGACTGGTGGTGAACACCAGGAGCTTTGTTAAACCCTGGAAGTCGAGCCTTGGAAGCAAACTCCTCCACATTATCAGGAAGTACTGTGGACGCAGGTAAAAGCCTGGGTCACCCTTCAGCAGAGACTGTTATCTGTTATTTGGATGGTAAAACAAATAATGGACACCTTTTTTATTTCTGGTCCCCAAAAGGACTTTATAGGACAGAAAAACCACAAAAGACTTTTGGTTTTGCTCTTTCTATTAAGGACGGAGAAGAACAAAAAAAATGGATGGTGACTTTTATTTGGATATATCTAATGTTCTTAAATTGTTCTGATGTGGAGCTTGAGATTTTTATTGTTTCACTTGTTTTTTAAAATACAGAGTATTTTTTTTTCTTGCTAGGAAATGGGTTTATGGTCCTAGTTTGGCTATTTAAATGAAAAAAACGTATATTTTTTTTTTAAGTCAGTTTAAATAACTCCTTTAAACTCAGATATTAATAAACTATGACTGTTTAAAATAACATGTGATTGTGTGATTACTGGTAGATACTCTAATTCACCTTTTAAGCCAAGTTAGATCAACTCAAATTCTGCAGGCAGTTACTCTCCTTTTATTAAAGCAGTTTTCCTTCATTGTAAAGATCCACTGTGGAGCTGTTCTCCTGATGCGTTCTGAGCCCAGTTCGTTCATTAGCCAGTGTTTATGTTTGTGGCCATGCTCTCAATGTGTTTCTATATCTGGCTGTGCTTCAGAACCACAGTAAACACAACGTTTTTGGACATTTTTCAACAAGGCTTAGTTAAGAATAGGCTTGATGTTTTGCCTCCTAGTGTAGCAAGAAATTATCAGAAGTAATGCAAAAAATGCAATCCTCAGAGATGGCATCTTCAGTATTATCAGTAACCCAATGTTCTCCACGCGATAGATTAAGAAAAAGCAAAAGGGTCCTGTTAAAAAAAAAAAAAGTATCATTCGGGAACTTTTTTTTTTCCATACCTCGCCTTATTTACTCTAACTACTTTGAGGGAAAGCGTATTTGCTTTTTTTCCACATTAGAGGAAGAATGGATATCTGGAAAATGCATTTACTTCATGAGTCATTTAAGATTATCGCCCTCTTTTGGTAGTAAGAGAGAAAAACACTCATATGTTCTAGCCTTCTTTATATAGTACTCATATATACCATGATTAAACAGAAGTACAGCAAAAAAGAAGTAGGATTAAACAACCGTCTGCTTTAAAGGTAGATTTCAAGTACAGCTGAAATCTAACAACCTATTTTATTCATTTCAAGATACAGATTCAATAATAAAAGATGTTTCTATTCTAAATGTTTCCATTTCAATGCTGTTACCTAATAGACCAGTTCACTTCCAGTCAGTTCCTCCTAATACTATAAGATGATAAGTATATAGACCTAAGTAGTGTCATTGTGAAATTATATATATTTTGAATAATTAAACATTAGTCAAACTATAAATTTATGCATAACTCTAACAGGAGGTAGCCTTAGGCTTCAAAATGTAAAGAGCAAAAAATTAGAAAAACAGTTTAGGATATTTCTCATGTGAGGGATTTATGTTTATGAGGCTACTAGCATGTAGAATAGATCTGTTTGGTAGGACAATGTTTTAGATCCTACTTCACCACATTCCTTCCTATGTGATGCTTCCCGAAGGTTCTTTCATATCTCTCATATTTCCTCAAAACATTTGATGTTAATTGCCATCAAATAGATTCGTATTTGTGATTTAAAAAAACAAAAACAAATTTACGTTCTGTAATCTTTTAAGCTACATATTTTTAATCTCTTCAGTTTTAGTAACTTGGTTTTATTCATCCAGACATGCAGGAATGCTGTATAGTGGAATGAAGCCTCCTGTGAAAAGTTCACAAATGATCACAAAGCATAAGAGCATTGTTCCAGTTCCATATTTATAATAATTTATTTTGTATACAAATGGCATCAAATGAAAAAAAAGCAGCAGCAGATTAAAAAAACAAATATTTTATAGAAGCTTTTTTTTTTTTTTTCCCCTCAACAGATTCTAACAAAGCAACAAAGCTGGATGTGTTTTCTGGAGAGCTGCTAGTCCATTGTATTTTTTTTTCTTTTTTGAGGGGGTCGGATATTTTGTTGCATAAATTTGTTTTGCATATTTTCTAAAAGCAGCACTTGAACTAACCCTGCAATGCTACATTCAGTAAAGATATACCCTTTGACTCCTGGAATAATCATTAGAAGAAAACAAAAACTCTACGAAGCTCTCATCATGAGGCTGGTTTAGCTGCATGAATTACAGTGCGGTCCAAAAGTATTCATACCGCTGGAACTTTTCCCCATTACCGCCACAGACCTTAATGTGTTTATTGGGATTTTATGTTACAGATCACTGAAGGGAAATCTGCTCTTGGGTTTGCCCTTTCAGGGGGGTTCCACGGCAAGTCATCCATCGCCATCTAACCTCATCTTCTATCACACCTTCCTGTCCTTTTTAACTCCACCTATAAATCATCTTTTGGTCTTACNAAAGCATAAGAGCATTGTTCCAGTTCCATATTTATAATAATTTATTTTGTATACAAATGGCATCAAATGAAAAAAAAGCAGCAGCAGATTAAAAAAACAAATATTTTATAGAAGCTTTTTTTTTTTTTTTCCCCTCAACAGATTCTAACAAAGCAACAAAGCTGGATGTGTTTTCTGGAGAGCTGCTAGTCCATTGTATTTTTTTTTCTTTTTTGAGGGGGTCGGATATTTTGTTGCATAAATTTGTTTTGCATATTTTCTAAAAGCAGCACTTGAACTAACCCTGCAATGCTACATTCAGTAAAGATATACCCTTTGACTCCTGGAATAATCATTAGAAGAAAACAAAAACTCTACGAAGCTCTCATCATGAGACTGGTTTAGCTGCATTAATTACAGTGTGGTCCAAAAGTATTCATACCGCTGGAACTTTTCCCCATTACCGCCACAGACCTTAATGTGTTTATTGGGATTTTATGTTACAGATCACTGAAGGGAAATCTGCTCTTGGGTTTGCCCTTTCAGGGGGGTTCCACGGCAAGTCATCCATCGCCATCTAACCTCATCTTCTATCACACCTTCCTGTCCTTTTTAACTCCACCTATAAATCATCTTTTGGTCTTACACCAGCATCAGCATCCCTCCACAGATACTCACTATCCCTCATTTGTTCGTAACCAAACAATCTCAGTCTATCTTCTCTGGCTTTATCTCCAACTCATTCAACATGACTTGTCCTTCTGATGGACTCATTCCTGATCCTTCCTATCCTACATCAAACCTCAGCATCTCCATCTGCCTCCTATTTCTTCCTTCTAAACACCGACTTAGCTCCATGGGCAGTTCTAGACAGCAGCCAATGGGGGCCAGTGCCCCTGTAGATCATGTCCTGAAGACATAATACTTAAAGAAATTCTAATGATGATAAGCACTGGAACAAACATGGTTACTGATAGGTTCCTTTGGATCTATTTCATTTTTTTTCTGTTTTACTAATTATTTAAAAACAATAAGTTGATAGCTTCAGTGGTATTGAGATAGGATCCCTGTTTTCAAGTGCTAAATGTTTTTTTTTTCAAAACAAATTTTTACAGCTGAAGTTATATCCGATTTTCTTGTGTTCTAATTCAGATTTGATAGAAAACGTGAAATTAACTCAAAAATATGTAAAATCCCTAAATTATGAATGTATATTGACCTAATAAGACAGAGAATTTTAATGAAACCTACTGTAATTTTCGGACTATAAGCCGCACCTGAATATAAGCCGCAGGTTTCACATAAACTGTCTTGCGCTCGCAATGTCCATCTTTCTCGCTGTTGTTCTGTCTCGTACCACTCGCGGTAGAAGTCTGCTTCTGGAGGACCTCCGCATTCCCCCGCGCGCAGCTACCGTACTTGTGTGTTGAAGCAAATGTGACGTCAACATGGTGGATGGTAAAATCCATAGATTTAGGTATTACCCTAGTGGCCGTTAGCTGTAAAAGCCCAAAGATAAGCCACATTGTTAAATAAGCCGCAAGGTCATAAAATGGGGAAAAAGTCGCAGCTTATAGTCCGAAAATTACGGTAATTGAATAGAAATTTCTCTTCATGCAGCTATATTAATATATTTGAATCCCGTGCCCTTTTTTTCATGTCATGCTTTTTTGTGCCCCCCATGAAAACATGCTGCCCCCCTCCTGGCCCCCTGCTACATTTGTTCTAGAACCGCCACTGCTTAGCTCCACCTGTTCCAACCTCCTTTGACATATTTTATTACCTCTTTAAGGCTGAAGAATGAGTGAAATCTAAAAACTGTGGCACATATTTGTATTCAATCCTCTTTAAAATAAAATCAGTTAATGCAACTATCTGCCTCCTAATTACTGAGCAGGTCATATGGTGTAATCTCAGCATTAATCCAGCTGTTCTGGGATGGCCTCAGAGGTTTGTTAAGAACATCACAGAACAACTAACAGCACAAAAATGAGGAACACATCAAAACATCTCAACACAAAACAATTAAATCCATCTTCTGAAAAGAGAAGAATTAGATGGAAATTGAAACCCCCGTCACATGGCCATGCATCTAAACTAACAAGCCAGGGCAAAGCCAGCATGAAGGCCTACACACCCTTCATCAGAGCCAGATCAGTTGTTTAGTAGCTTGCAAGAACAAAGTTGGTTCTTTGCAGGATGCTTCATGCAGGATTCATGAGGCCTTCATAAGGCAGCTGCAGTATATATGTCACTTTTTCTGCACCCAAACTCTACATATTTCTTACCAACCACAGGTTTTGTTGAACACAAGAAACAAAAGGTTCAAAAGGAGATCTTAAAGTGGTGGTAAAAATATGCTATAAGCCAAATATCATTGGGGTAAGTCGAAGTGGCTTGATTAGAAATAAACTCACTAAATGAATTTTCTAAATTGAACAATTGTTCTGGTAGCATTACTCCTAAAATAAGAAAAACTGGTAAATAATACCCAAGATCAGCTGAAATATCTTGAAGAATATCAAGAAAAAGATGTAGCACTGGCCTAATTTTCTTTCAGGAAAAAAAAATGTACATAAACAAAAGTTTCTCTACTTTCTTCTAATTGTTTTTGCAGAGCAATCTGAGAGGCAACCAAGCAGCCTATAGGGACTCTTGAGGAGCTGCAGAAATCTAAAGCTTAGATCCTGACAGGACAACTATTAGTTGTACAGTTTTTTAATCAGGCCGTCATGAATGAGCACCTAAAATATAGCTTGTATAAAGTTGTGGAGGAGATACAGACAAGTTGTGCTCCGGTCAAATGAGACCTCACTAAAAACAGCATGAATGAACCTAACCACACAATCCATAAAATAAAGTTGTAGAGAAGGCAGCAGCATGGGGATGCTTTCCTTCAGCAGGGACCAAATGAAGGACCACGCTGGAAGAAAACCTGCTAGAGGTCGCTCAA